AAAAAGAAACAGTAGTTACACTTGTGAAGGAAATTTTTTATGTTGAATTTTAATAGTAAAAATCGAAATGTTACACAAATTTTACATAGTTATTGCAGTCACTATATTGATCGTGTGACATCACGGGTGACTGTTATTTAGTAGAAATTAATGAAAATTATCAAAGTACAAAGTGGCCCACCTGGGCTCCGGAATTAACGTTTTACGCTAAATATTTGTTAAAAAAATTTGGTTCCCGAATAGCAATTGTGGTGATAAGAGCAGATTATAAAGAATGGTATAAAGAATTAAATTTATTGTTGACCCAAATTAAAGCCTTAAGCGGAGAATATCAAGTTTTCTGTCTTTCGGAAACTAGTCCACAAGATATTATCAATTTCAATCTCTCAGGGTGGGCTAATTATCCCAAACTGGGACACATATAATTTTACATGTATATAAGGAACGAGAATTCGCTGTAATCGAAGAATAACTTTGTAACAAATTAACTTTAATAATAAGTTAATAATTGGTTTCGACTAAATACAAAATTAAATAAATCATTTTTATCAAATCACTAAAACAAAATTATTCGCTAATAAACCTAATTCGTTAATATTGGCCTATTCATCCTGATCCACATAAACTAATAAAATTTGTTGTCATCAATTAAAACACGCTCTCCCAAAGATTGAAATTGTGCATGTGTCACCAATTGGGCTTAATTTTTTTACATTAACTTCAAATTTGCTTTTTAATATTAAACAAATTCGCGGAATAGATCCTGATTGTTATTTTTTAAAGATTATTTTCTTAATAATAAACATTTTATCTAATAATATTAATATATATATTGCTGGATGAAATAGAATTTCAAACAAAAATAAATTCGCATAACAGATTCTTTTCAAGAATAGCTATTATTAATAAAATGGAAATAATTTAAAGATTAGCTACATACTATTACTAATTTTTTTTTCACCCATTTTCTACTATTATTTAAAAGTGTAATGGTTATATTAAAAGTATTTATTTATTAATAACATTAGCAGAATCTGGAAGAGATGTTATTAATATTTAATATATATAAGTTAAAAGAAAAGAAAGTTTTATTAATGATTATTAATGGTTTTATTTATACATATATTAATTGACCAGAAAATGAAAATTATTTCAAAGATGTTATTATTATTATTAAAAGGTATGTATGCATAAAATCATAATAAATAATTTCCTTTGCAATCCCAACCATTTTTCCTCTTTGCATTGGGTGGGTAATTAACCAAATATGAAAAATGTACTTTAAAAATTATAAATGCTACAATTATGAACACATGTAGATTTCCTATCTAATATTAACACATTCACATCATTTTGAATGATATCAAATATTCATATGTATATATCCCTTCCACATATAAATTGAATTTTACATCATGATCAATAGTTTCTACAGATAAGGCGTGTTAATTTTTATTGGGATGATATCTTTTGTGAAATAAAATGCTTGCAGATGGCATAGCATTAAGATTATGATTATGAGTTGATGCATAGCATTAAAATTATGATCATGAGTTGACACATTATTAAGATAAGGATTACAAGTTGTTGACACATCATTAAGATAAGGATTACAAGTTGTTGACACATCATTAAAATAATGATTATGAGTTGTTGACATAACATTAGGATAAGGATTATGAGCTGCCTTTAATGTGGCATTATTTCCAAAGCTTTGAAGGAGAGTGTTTTGCATATATATTTCACACCTGTCTTTGGCATAGTCAACTTTAACCTCTTTGTATGCGTATTTTAATGGTAGTGATTTAACTGCTCTAATGGCACTTGAAATATTCAAGAAATGAACTAATCCAATCTTTTTTCCTCTGATAATTTGAATAGTATCAATATAACCATATTCAGCCAAATCTCTATGTAAAATCCTTTCAGTGAACGAATCATCCAAATTTCTAGGAGAACGTTACGTGAAGCATTGTTTTCATCAACAGCTAATTGAACACCTAAAGGTACAGCTGATGGTCTACCACAACTAACGTAAAGTTTTTGACCTTCATAAAAAATTTGTTTGGTCATAGCTTCATCATAAAATGCTTTTGCAAGAATAGCATTCATAAAAGAAATGAAGGCACAAGTGTTGTCAGGATGGAGTTTGACAGACTTTGATTTGATTTATAAGTTTATAAACTTCTACATTTGATGGTAAATTTCCAAGATATACAGTTCGTCTAATAATATTTGTAGAATATTTTTGATAAATTTTTGAAGGTTGATTTATGGATTGCTTTAATCTCAACGGAGCAGCTTTATGATAATAATCAGCTATTATTGCTTGATAGAAATATTTTGTAAATAAAAAAAAATTTTTAATTTTCATTATCTCTTGTTAAAAAAACGTTGTCACTACTATGATTTGGATTATACCTTGCTTTTTTAGTATTGTCGTGACTTCAATTACCATTATCGTTACTACGTTTCATGATAAAATTTTGATTGAAGCTTTGAATATTAAATCTTTGGGAAACAAACGTAAAAATAATGTATATAATCTATATGTATATAAATATAAATAAATAAATAAATATATAATAAATTATGTTAATAAAATCAATTAAATGAGTTAATTATTCTAATGGATTTAACATTTTTCCACTTTTAATGTAGACAAAAATATAACGCGTTTGATCTAACGTTTAAATATGATAGATAGTGACTGTGTGCAGATTAAAAAATATGAGGACAGTTAAACTCATAATTCTTATACCGTTCTTCTTTTAACACTATAATATAACCAGAATTCTTGCTTTTTTAAAAAATAAAAATTACCTTGAGAGAAAAATAAAAAAGTTTCAAGATTTGGTTACACTAGAAAACTAAAAAAAACTTTCACAGAATTTTGTATTACTCGTGTAATACTTGATTTGACTAATGTTCTTTCACCTCTCTCAAAACATTTATAAGTGAAATGGGTATAGTTATTAAGCTAAAAATGCTCTTTGTGATGAATTACATATAAAAATATTAACTCTAAAATCGACTTTTTGGTGACATGCCTTGTTTCTATTGATCAACCCCAAATAAGAATGAATACCTTGCAAGGCGGAAGAAACTTTGAATTGAAGAAACTTTGTGGTACAGCGGTCATAATGAATGATTTAATTATGTAATTTGAATTTATTTAAGAGATTATGATAGCAATAATAAGTAATAGTAAGTAAAATTACGACCAATGCGATTATAAGCGTAGTAATAAACTAATTGTTAATTTTCAAAAATCATCAGTCGAATCATCAATTGTTATAAAGACTACAATTATAAAGTACAAATACATTTAAATCTAACAGATGATTAGCATGCAAAAAATTAAATATTTGTTAAAAGGCGTCATGCTACAATGACAAATCAAGGTATCTTGGAATGGCTATTTATAATAGATTTTATTATGATAATAATGCTTGTTCACATTCAGTAACAGTTCATATTAGAGAAACAATGCCTCATGGAGAGGAATTGTAAATTTGATTTTAGCAGAATCAGTATGTATTGCTCAAACATGCAAAGAAATGAATCTAAAAAAGGGAAATTTAAATTTGGTGATTTATGTATGGGTTTTCTCATAATAGCCTAAAGTATGTCATCACGTAAAATAAATAACCAATATTTATATATGAAACTTGCAATCCTCGCCATACGTTTAACTAAAGTTGTTTTTAATTGAAAGAAGGGCAAGTCAAGTAGTTCGATTTTTTCGTAGTTTTGAGCAATCTAATAAATATCCCACAGAAAGACAAAAACTTAAAGCATGCCGTCACGTAAACTTGCAACCCTTACCATACATTTAAGAAGTTCTTATGCAAATGGTTCATTTTTTTGATTGTTTATGCAAGCTAAAATTTCACAATAAGGTGGAAATCTAAAGCATATTCCGATGTAATATTATATATATATTATTATATCTGATTAATTTAACATCACATACAGTGGATGAAATTGGAAAACAATTTCACCAAAAATTGTACTTTTATTATATAAGAGCAAAGCCTGCAAAATCAAGCATCAAATTGAATGCTTGATGAATATTGCAATTGATGCAGTTGTGTTAAGCAGTTAGTTTGTGGTTTGTATGGGTTGGTTAGACACTTATCTTAAAAATAACCTATTATATTTTAAAAATATAAAATCTTCAAGGTTAGGGCACTTTTAGTTTAAGAAAAGAACAAGACTGTAATTAAGATTAAAAAAAAATAAAAATAAATAACAGTGAATTTTCATTTATTTTATTTGCTTTAAAGAATTAAAACAAACATTAATTAAATTATTTAATCAACTCTAGCGTTTTCTAAATTTTCCTTGCAACCATATTCGATACATTTGAAGTTTTCTATGTCTATTAACAATCAATCTACGATCTACGGCATTTTGCTCGATAATAAATTTTGATTCCCAAATAGATTCAATTTCATCTTTTAATTTAAAAAATTAATTTAATTTTTTGTATATAAAATTGGAAATATAGTAATATAATAATAATAATAAATTACCAGAGGTGAAGAAATATGCTCTGGTGCCATCACCACGGACATAAAAATTATCAGAAATCATACGACCTTCTTTAAATCTAAGTTGAACCATATCATATCTACCGTAATCTATATGCATAGATATAATTATATTATGACATGTATATTATGAATCATAATAAAATTTACATATGTATTGAGTTTACCTCTGAAAAGCACTAATCCACCAGGTTTCAACATCTATTATAAATATCAATATTTTGAAGGAGGTAAAATAATAATTATTTTTGATCCTAGGGTTATATGGTAATAAATACGATGGACGGTTATGAATAGAGAAAAACCTTGTAAATATTTTCCACAGCTTGAGACCAATCTTGAGGACGTATTGCAGACATCACAAAAATCAATACTACAATATCTAATGATCCTGGCTCTATATATTCCGGTATATCTTGATTTGTTAAATCCCATACAAAGGCTTTAGATTGTTCCTGATTATACTCTGTACTATTCTAAATATAACACATAGCGTATATACATATATACATATAATAAATAAATTTATGCATTTTTATAATATATACTCTAAAAGAATATAGTCTTCAATATTTACTATTAATTATTATGATTACTTTAATCACTTCTATTGCTGTTGAAGAAAAATCACACGCATAAATAAATAATTCTGGATTTTTGTTTAATCCTGATAATGGAAATAAAGTATTTCCTGCTCCGCACCCAATCTCAAATACTTTTTTATTTCCAGCCTAATAAACCAAAATATATTATTATTATTATTATTAATATTAAAGAGTAATTCCATACATGAATATATAATAATAATATTTTACCAACATTTGATTCTATAACATCAAATAATTCTGGGAATTCAACTTTTAACCATTGACGATCTTTAAAGAATTTATTGGTATTATGTTGGTAAAATGTATTCCAATAATCTGCTGCTTTAACATGATATTTTACTAAATATAACAATAATTATATTTAAAATATATTATCGCTAATAGTATCAATATTTCCATTATGAATAGAACACATTACTCACTTTGGTCATCTAAAGGCATTTGCTGACTGGATTGCTTTTTAATTCTCTCTTTTGCATGATTTTCTTGTTCTTCATCCCATACCACATTATCCCTTTAGATTTCAAAATCAAAAGAGCTTGCACATAAATATAAATGAATTATAATTTGAACATTAATTAATTGACTAACGATAACGAAACAAACCATGCATTATGTTTATATACATCATCTTTATTTTCTAATATGCGTGTTCCGAATGTTGATGTGTTACCATTTATATCTTGGACGCTTGACCAATCTTTTTTTAATTTTGCTGTAGAAGTTTCTACTTTTGTTGTCTCTGAAATCTCTGAATTGTCTTCATCAGATTTGGAATGCATTTTCATTCTAAATGTCTTATTCAAAAACTATTTCAAATATTATCAGTGAAAAATTCAGAGATGTAAATAAATAAATAAACAAAACGCACATACCATGTAATTGTGTAAATATCGAAGATTCATACTTGGTGTCACTCGAAATGAACATTGTAAATTTTTCATTGATATTGAAAACCCAAACTTTTATTTATAAAAAAAAAAAAAAAACCAACAAAAAACATTTAAATTATTTATAAACAACATAACAAGTAGTTTTTTTTTACGATGGACGGATAAGGTATAAAAATAAATCCCTTTGCCTAATTTTTGAGGCTTTGTTCAAATTATTATTATTGTTGTTGTTGTTTATCAAGAATAAAAAAAAACAAGATAATAAATAAATAGTAATACATTAATAAATAGATTAAATAGGTGTTTGTGATGCTAAATATTCATCATGTAGTTTCTTTTGTGCTTCCCATTCTTTTTTCAATTTCTTGATTCTATTTTTTGCTAATTCTTGTCCTTGTCCATCATGTGTTGGAATACCCTTTATTATTTTAGATAATATTAATATTAATATTTTTCTTAAATTATTAATAAAAAATCAAACTAATATACAATTAATTGATTACTCACCTGCTCATCAAATTCAGAATAAGCAATTTCACCATTTTCATCTTTAACATCTTTAAACATCCCTTCAGCTGGTACTTTTCCTTTCTCCAATCTTTTCCGTTTTTCTTCTTCTTTAGCTTTAGCAAGTGCTTCTTTTTTAGCAGCCTTTTCAGCTTGTGATTTCAATTTTTCCTCTCTTGATCTAAGAAGTTCTTCACGATCAACCAATTTCACCAACGCTTTGCCATCCTCCTGATCATCCAACAATACGCCCAACTCTGCTAAATCATTATCACGTAATTTGTCACTTAATGCCAAAAATTCCGAATGATCTTTACCTTGACGTGCTAAATCACGTATATTATCACGAAAACTTGATAAAACCCTTAAATATGGTAAAATAATATCTTCCGTCTACACATATGTAAATGTGATTTGAAAAAAAGTATATAAATATAACATATATTTGTAATCAATTTTCTTAAAAGAAATTAGGATATTTACATTTTTTTCTTGGCCCGATGATACCAAGGATGATGATCCAAAACCTATTTCATCAAGTGATTGATTTTCAACTAAACCAAAAATTCTTAAAATTTTGGTTATAAATTTTGCAATAGTTTCAACTACATTCATATTAATTTTTTTTCGACCGCTTGATAAATAAACATTGGTTTTATTAATAAGTTCCAATATTTCATTCATTGCATTTGGTGTATTAAATGAATCGCAAAGTGCTTCATCGATTGATAGTTGTTTTTCGTAAAGGCTTATTTGAAAATAAAAAATTTAATTATTTGTTTTTTTTTATAAAAATAATGTATATGTATGTGTATTAGATAGATAAACTTACAAATTAATTAGTTCTTTTTCTGAATCATGATATTTATGAGTTCCGTCAGATTCAAACATTGAAATTTTATGCTCATTTATTAATGCTTTAACATTTATAAAGAAATTCTTTTAAATATAAACAAAAATTTTTAGTAAAAAAATTTATCATCAATAATATTGTTAATGTTATTTTTTTTATTTTTAACACTCACATTAATAGTATTGTCGACAGTTTTAGCCTCAGTCATAACTGAATCTTTGAAATCAAGTTTAGAATCCCATTGATGTAGTAAGAAACACAATCTCAATTGTCTTGACGTATACTTTTTTAATGCTTGCTGTTTTGTTAAAATAATTATTTATAATTTAGTCATATACAATTATATTGTTATGACAAATTATTTTTACTTACTTTAATAGTAATAAAATTTTTTAACGATTTGCTCATTTTTTGACCTTCTATATGTAAATGGCCAACATGAAGAAAATAATTGACCCATTGTTTACATTCATGATACGCCTAAAAATTTTCAGTTACTATTATTATCTGAACAATTGTTTGTAAATAAATGTATTTTAATATAAATTTACCTCAGATTGTGCTAATTCATTATCATGATGTGGAAAAGCTAAATCAATACCGCCAGAATGAATATCCATATTATCACCAAGTACTTCACTAAATTATCAAATTAAAACATAATGAACATTTTCCTCCAACTAAAAATCATGATTCAATATCTAATTAACAAAAAAAAAAATTAATACCTAGCCATCACAGAACATTCAATATGCCATCCAGGTCGACCCTAAACAATAATTATTGTCATTATTAAATAGCACATAAAAATCTTTAAACATCAATTGTTATAATAGTGATAATCATGATAATGAATTGGCTACTAACTTGACCCCAAGGTGAATTCCATGAAGGTTCACCTGGTTTACTTTTTTTCCATAAAGCAAAATCAGATTTATTTTTTTTTCCAGACAATTTAACTCCTAAACTACCCTCACCCTCCTCAATTAGTCCTTCATTTCCCGCTGACCAAGGTTGTAGTTTCGCATAATGATGATCCTTCTTTCCATCAAATAGGTCGGTATCAAAATAAACAGACTCATCTGCCTCATATGCATACCCATTATCAACTATTTTTTTTACATATGTTATAATTTCAGGAACATATTCACTGACACGTGTTAAAATATCGCAGGGTCGAACCTTAATATTATTGTTGTTGTTGTCGATAATGTGATGGATAAATTAATAATAATTTAAAAAATCCATATAAATTATATAATAATAATATAATAACAATAGGATTTTTATTTACATTCAAAGATTCCATATCTTCCATAAAATCCTGCTCCCAGTGTGCTGCTGAACTACGAAAAATTTTTGAATCTGTTACTGATGCACCATGCTAAATTGATTTTTTTGAAAAATATTACAAATAAATAAATAAATGTATGTATAGATATAAATATTGTGTTTAAAACTTACTTCTCTATCCATCCAATCAGAAATTACATCCTGAGATTCATTTAAAAACTGGTGAGCAGTCTTTTTACTCAAATCTCCATCTTCAAAAGAAAACTCTGCTGATACAACAGCTTTGACTGTTTCTCTCTAAACAATCAATAGAAAATCAGTCAAAAATCAACTTATCACACGCGTGCGTGCGCGCGCACACACACACAAATAAAAGAAAAACTTACAAATGAATTAGCATATAAAAGATATTTTGGATCGCTTTTTGATTGATCATTGACGACACCATTAGTATCTACACCAAGTCTAACTTTTTTAAAATCATTCAATGCAGTCTTTACTTTATCTATTAAATCTTGTGAAAGTGAATCAGTGGATTCTTTTAATTTATTAAAAAGATGATTTTGTCTAGCACGAAGTATTATCTTTTTTTAATGTAAATAGAAAATATGTATGTTTAGATAAACATGTATAAATATCATAAAAACATAAACAAGTAATTATAACATATAATATATACCTTATCATCTATGTCTGTAATATTCATTACATACAGAATATTGTAATTAAAATACTCTGATAATATTCGGCGAATATAATCAACTGTAACATAAACACTAGATTCAAAAACATTAAAAATTAATAAAATTGGTTGATGTTGTTGATAAATTGAACCAATCAAAAGGTTATATAAGTAAAGTTTTACCAAACTTTTAATTATTAGTTTCATACCGAGCATGACCAATATGAGCAGAATCATAAACTGTAGGTCCACAGTTATACCATTTAATATGTTTTTCTTTTTTTGGTGTAAAATTAACTTTACATCTAGTAAGCGAATTATAAACTTCTAATGTGTTTGTAGAAGTGTAAGTTGTTTCTTCATTGTTTGTTGCAGGATCAAGCCAGTCTGGTTGTTTTTTAGTTGACATGCTTGAGTAGAATGCAAATTGAAATCTTTTATTATTATAGCCAAGTTTATATAAAGAAGAATGGTAAAGTGGTTGGCAACGATAAAAATAACGAGTATGATGATTTTGTAAGGATAATAATAATAATATTATTTTTTCAGTTTTTACAAATTTTTTTGGGCTATATATACCAAAAATATTAAAGCCACGTAAAATAAAATTCATCAATTAATTGCATCTTTTTTTTTCCTAATAAAGATCAATGAATGGAATGACTCAATAACTGACTTAATGACTAAAGCTTAGGTTACACGATAAACATATCAAAAAAGAATGGGCATACTGCAATCATAGTTATATCACCTAAAGATTTCAGGGATCAAAATTGGTGACTATAAAGGAGAAAATTCAAGCCAAAAATTTCTTAAACTGATAATGATCATTAGATAATGGCAATCAAAAAGAAAATGGAATCGAAAAACAAAAATTACAAATATGAATGCCCTACTAAAAAGCTTCTTTTTGAGAGCCAAAAAAATGCTTTATTATTTTTTGGAATTGGAGGGAAATAAAGCAAAATGTACAGGTTTATCATCGCTCTACAAAAATGAATGATATTTTGCGTGATTTAAATAAACCTTGTTTTTGTTTGATTAGCATCATTACATCAAACAAGATAGATGAATACTTGTAATCTCACCTTGTTATAAAAACATCACCCGGATTCCTCATTTAGTGAATTGCCATTAGAATTCATGAGTTGTTGCTTGGAGAGGGAAAAGGTGATGCTTGTTTCTATAATAAAGTCTCCCGCCAGCGAAAAGCAAATCCTAGGAAGAAAATAGTATGTAGAAGCAATCCAGAATGAGTTGTTGATAAGGAAAAGAAAAGAGAGATGGGAGAAGACGAAAATGGTGATGATAAAGAAGATGAAAAAAGAAATTAATAACGATAATAGATTTGCACCAGAGTAACCAAAGAGTGAAATGTTAATAAACCATATTAATATTTTAGAACATAATCGTAGTTATAGGGACGATAGTTACACTAGAAATAGTAATAGTAGTTATACCAATTGGGATATACCATCAATAAAATATTGTTAAACTTTTATTACAGGTAATTTAGTCGTGAACGTCAATTCAGAAGTTATATCCTTCGCGTTCGTTATTATATAGTAACTTTCATCAAATTTAATACATATATAGTATTTATTTCAAGTATTATTGCAAATAAAACAAAAAGTAATCTCAATGTTAAATTTATTTTTGCCTCTGAGATTCGCATAACAGATTGTCATATTAATTAATATATGTCCAGTCCATGCCATTTGGGCATGTCTTTTTATATTGGAATTTATTTATTTTAAATGAAATACCAAACATTTTTGTGTCTTCAAAGAAATGGTGGACAATTGGATCGTTAACAACCTAAAAATATTGACCTTTGTTAAAATCAATAAATTGCAATGCTATTGACCACATACATACATCTTTGACAATATCTAACTGAAAATATTAATATTAAAAAATTACAAAGTGAAAATATTTTATTTGCAAGCGCATATCTAAGATTTTCCAATACCAAACCCTACACACACCCACCAGCTACTTTCCCTCGTTAGTTTTCAATATATGTCGCAGCCAAAAAATTTTTATATAACTACTTGAGGTGTTCCACAAAGTAATATAGTAAATAAATATAAAAAGTGCTCCTAACTAATAAATAAAAACGTTGGCCAAAACTATTAATCATTAGTAAAGGTCACGAAATAACGGCTTTGCCTCTTTTAGCGACTATCCAACAAAATTGTAAAGGTAACAAAATATTTTGATAACTAATTCTGAAGGTCTAGATATTTCTATTTCTAATAACAAAAAACACCTTTTCATTATGTGGTCATAAGAACAGAAATGATTTATATTATATGTGATAATCCCATTACTGTGTATTTTACAATTGTGATGTTAAACAATTTTTGACCCTGAAATTTCTTTTGTGACATAATATTAATATGTAGTAACATGTGGAAATTTTTTGCACTAGCCAATTGATGACAATTTGTTTCATCAAGGAAATTTTCTCTTTTCACTCAAATTGAATTTCCAAAAAAGGTAGGGACAAAAGTATTCTTGAAACAAGAAAACAAATATTATTTTGTCTTAATTATTCGTTTATTGATAATATTTTGCAATTAGTCAGGATTACACGTGAATATTAGTATGCTGATTTACAAATCTTTCAAAGGGTCCTCGTCGATTTCAACCGGATCTAGCTCAATATCTAATTCTTCCTATAAAATATTTTGTATAATAATAAATAATAAATTTGGAAATCGGAGGTTTTCAATAAAAAATTTACCATAAAATCCGTTTTCTTTTTTTCTGTATAATCTAAAATTAAATTAAACATATCATAAAACTATAATAATAATAAGGTTAAATTAGTAATTATTACATATACATTTATATAAAAGTATGCATACGTATACATTTCTACCATTCTTTTTCTTTGTCTCCATAGTTTGCGATTCTTTTCATATCCTTCATCTATTTGTTTTTTTTCTTCGTCAGATATTTGCACCGTTCCTGATTGTAATACTTGTAACCTTTCACCATACTTTTGATTCTTTCAATAAAACAAATTAATTTTTTAATTTTTTTGAGATCGTGCTATTTACTATTCAATAATATTTGTTTACCTCTTCTTTTACAATTTCGATTCTTTAGCATTTATTAACAACCAAATTAATCAGATATTATTTAGCAAATTTTATCAATTAATTTTCTCGTCAATAATTTTTAAATTTACCTCTCGTCAATTTGTTTATTGGTTAAAGAGCTATTTAATCCATTGAACTCTTATCGTATATGAAATAAATTTCTCATTAGATGTCGATAAAGAAGCAAGTAATAATTAACAAATTGTCATTATCGTCATCATCACCATCAATTTACCTGATTGTAACCGTCGATTTTTTTCTTTGAATTCGTTTATTTCTTTTTTAAGATCTTCAATTTCTGCATCCATCGTAAGCAATTCTTCACTAGAAGGTGATTCTAATTGATCCTATTATATATATATATATATATATAACAGGCATTAATAATAGTGATTGTTAAGTTATTAAGCAATTATTGTTTTCTTACTTGTTTTATACAATAAACAGATTGTTTCCCATAGGGTTTACAATTAATTTCATTTTTTTCAACAAGTGAATTTAAGACCTTTTGTGCAACGGTTTTTGTGACAGCTCCACGAAGATTATTTATAACATCAGCTAATAAATATTATTATTGATATTAATGTTATTATTAATGTATTAATGTTAATATCAATGTCATTATTAAAAATTAGACATTCCAATTCTTTATGGCTTACTGGCACTATATGGACGATTTTGTTTTCTCAAATATTCCATGACCATTTGTTCAGCTAAAATCATTAAAACCGAATTTAAATTTTATGATTTTAATTTTTAATTATTGTAATTCAGCACTCATAATAATAATAAGTGATGGATGTTAATAATAAAATACCATCATCGCCTTTGACAGCTGGTACTTTCTTTTGTTTTACCATTTTGTTAAAATAATATTGAACGTGTAAAAATTTTTTCTTTTTCGAATAATTTATATCAATAAACTTTTTGATTTGGTGATGTCATTGTTAATGACGATTTCTTTTTTTTACAAAAAAACAAACGTGCCAAATCATGTGACTGACATTTATAAAAAAAATAATTTGCATCAATAATTTGTATAACAAATAGTTGGGAAATATTCGAGAAATCCGTTATATCGAGAAGATTTTTATTAAGGTTAATTATGGAATTTCATCCATTAAACCGAGATTTTTAATTAGTATCCGCTAAATCGAGATCTGCTAAACCGTGATTCAATGTAGACCGCAAAAAAACCACTAACTTTGTGATTCTAATCCCATTTAAATTCATATGCATGTATATATACAAAATTAAATTTTTTCTTCAGGAAATTTTATACGTCTGATTGGGATTTTTAAAATTTTTACTGCCGTTCAAAGGATCGTCAATTAACAACTTCACTTAATTTCAATTTCACATACAACATCGTCAAGACAAACAAATTTAATTAATACGATTCAAATGTTCTATCAGGTGTACCCCACCAAAATATCAACCAATCTTAATAAAGCTTGTTCACCCATAAACATAAAGCAGCTTAATATTAAACTTCTGGAATTTTCCTCATCCTCTTCCCTTGTTTCATTTTTAGATAACAATGTTTTCAGATGAATTTGCATATTTCTTTTTACAAAATTTTTTTTTTGTCTAATTTTAATTGAACTAAAGATAGTTTTAAATAAACTAGACTCTGAATTTGTTCAAAAAGAGGCGGCGATAAAATAATTGAAAGGTTGAAAGATATGTTCCTGGCTGATAATAAAGAAACAAATTTAAAAATTTTCATACCGAAAATAAACAAATAATAAATCTTGGATATCTATATATCTAAATTTAAATACATGAAAATGTACTTTATATATATTAATATAAAAATTTCAAGAGTAGTATTTATTTTTCTCAGAAATATATTTATGTATTTTTTTAAGAATATTGAGATTTGTTTTATAACGAAAATAAAAAAATTATTTTAGCACTATGGTATTAATACAAAATCATAAATTTAATGGGTTGTATTTTTTTTCACCTTAAATAAATTAAATATACTATTATCATTATAATATAAAACCTCATTTATAAACCAAATCAATTCTCCAATTCATCAATATTTTGATCTTGGCCCTTTCCTTTATTGTTATTAATATAATCAAATGTTTATTAATTAGTTAAATGCAAATAAAAAAGATTATTAGTAATAATAATTAATGTGTAATAATTAGTAATGAATGAAAAATTAATTTACCATTGTTTAAGAGAAGAGAATTAAAACCAAGATCATTTAATGAACCATCATTACTTGTATAAAATTTTAAGCTTTTTGATTTAACAATTTCATCATCTAATATTCTACTTGTATGATATGCTTCTGGATGTGGCCTGTGTACTTGTTGTGAATCACCACAACCACCACCACTACTAATATTACTATTATGATTATCATTAAAAAATTCTTCATGTTTATTTACAGCAAATGGCCAAAGCTCACCAATAGTTGGTCTTTTTGATGGGTCCATATCCCAACACCTCTGCATCATTTGTACATAATCATCAGGCATTTCAGGCAATATTGGTGGTCGTAAACCCTCACATATATCAAAAACTAAATGATGATCATGAGCTCTATCATCAAATGGTGGATGGCCTGCAAATATTTCCCACAT